TACTCGGCGTCGGAAACCGCGCACCGGGTGCGGGCTTCTCGGGCGGGTTGAGCGGTTTTCGAGACGGGGCACTTCAAAAACGATCGGTGGGCCGCCACCCTCCTTCCGCTCGGCTGTTTAGACGCGATTAATTCAATTAGGTATGCTTATCCGTGCCTCCGAGCGGGGTGGGGCACCGGGACAAAATTAATACCCGATAACACACCCGCCCCCCCCCCTCCGCGCCGCTGCGGGCGCGGCGCGGCTCATCTGCTCGTGATGTAAGTTGGTATGCGCGAAAAGATATCCGAGTCGGGACACGAGACCTCTCGAGTTTTCATAGCCATTACCCCATCAGGGCGTAGCGCTCCCATTGTTGGCGCCCGCTTATCCGTTGCTCTTCTCGTCTGTTTTCGCCTCGAAAAGTCTTCGCCCTCCTCTCATAAGGACGCAACGACACTTCGCGATGAGCGATCAGTGGCGAGGCGTGATAAACGCCAATGGATATCCCATTTGAAACTATGCACTGAAAAAAAAAAAAGAAAAAAAAAAAAAAGGAAAAAAAAACATTGGACCGAGAGTCCAGACTCTTGAAAACATTGACAAGAAAAATTACTCTTGATTCAATCAGATTTAAGCTTAAATCAAAAAGAAAATTCGCTCTCATTAGAGTGCTTGGTTCTTGATTTAAGCTTCAATCTAAGTGAATCAAGAGTATTTTTCTTGTCGATGTTTTTAAGAGTCTGGACTCTAGATCCATTGTGTTTTTTTTTCCAGTGTGGTAAAGAATCGATCAAGGCCCGGAAAATCGATCTTTTCCTAGGGTTTCCGACTATCTGGAAATCAGGGGAAATCAGGGAATTTTTGACGACGGAGAAAAATCAGTGAAAGTCCTGGAATGGAGACTTTGCATGCAAATGTTTTATTGCTTCTTCTGAAAAGGCCTAATGAGCTGATTTCACAGAATTTTTTTATACTCTTTTTCTGATATGGGAAATAGTATAAAAATAGATTCAGAAGTGAGAAAATGCACCGCTTAGTGACGTCATCTGGCGGCATTTCCCATTTAAACACACGTATTCTAGTAGATTAGATCATTTTGTCTTATCTTCTTCAAGAATTGTTCAATTCATGAACGTAGGGTATCCTCGTGTTCAGTTGACTCAGTAGTTACCACTTAACTACGAAATTTGTCAAATTTCAGACACCTGCAATTTCTCCATTCAAGGGAAATGTCCGGGAATTATTGACACATCAACTAATCACTAAAACATCACTGCTGATCTCCCAATAATTGTTCACCCTTCCTGGTCGTTTGTAAGGCTTGCCATTTTTCAACCAGCTACTGAATGCCTTGTTTTATCATAATATGACCGTCAAACAAGGAGGTTTTGTCGAAAGTCAGCGTACTTTTGAAAAAAGAAACAGGGAAATATTGTTCGAAGGTCTGCGAAAATCCGGGAATCGGAAAATGAAGAAATCATGGAAACCCTGCATCAGTTGCAATTCCAGTCGGCAGTGCTGAGTTTCGTCCGTTGAATTGAAATACATGTAAAACGGTCGATATTTATCGAAGCTGCCTCGCCAAGAATCAATTATTTTTAATGGGTGTCGATGAAGGAAAACAGTGTTACCAACTTACGAGACTTTACACTACGTTGTGCGTGGATGAATGAGACTCCGACATTGATACGAGAACGGAGTGGCCTTAACGAACATTATTAATGGGACACATTATCCTCGATAACAACCATCCAGCCGGCATGGACAGTAACATTGTAACGTTAATTATCGATGGCTCAATCACAGAAAAAATTAAGTAAGTTCATTAAATAAATTATGGACAAACGGATATCACCGTGCAACTGGCGCCGGATTGTTTTGATTAGACAAGTAAACTGCTCCTTATAATGTGAGTCCATATAAAACGTGTTAAGTAGTTTTTCTCGTCGCACTATCACTCCAGATAATTCTGCCTTGCTAAGGAAAAAAGCCGTATGAACCTTCAGGCGTTGCCCAATTTCCTTTGATCAAACGCGAATTTCCTGGTACGCTTACGAACATTTTCCTCCCAATTTTTCAGGTGATTTTGTTCGCAACTTCACCTAAAGATTCTGAAAATTAAAAGGAAAAATGTTCATAACTTTCCTCGAAAATAAACATTTTATCGAAGGAAATTTGGCAACTCTCAAATGATCATAAGGCGTTCTTCCTTAGCACGGCAGAATTGTGTCACTCCTCGTCGATATCTTCAGGAATCTGGACCTTCACCACAAATGAAACAGAATAGATGTTGCCCTTTGATCGAGGCGAAAACGGTTGAGCGGTGCTAACGGCAAGATTCGCCTTTAATTTTGCAAGTATGCACAACGGGCTCCACCGCGTTCGAATAGTGGTATCAAGGCGCCTAACCCAAGTCCAGCCATTGATAGCCATTTACAAGATCTATATTTTATGAACATGAGTAGGAGTTGTTTCTTTGTACATTCTAGACAATTAATGTTTTTTTCTTATTGTCATGATCAGTTTTGATTTTATAAAGTTAGCCTTATCGTATAATTCTTTACTGCAGTTCTAAAAGAACAGATGTTTCCCTTTGATCGACGGGAAAACGGTTGAGCGTTGCGAACGGCAAGATTCGCCTTCAATTTTGCAAGTATGCACAACGGGCTCCACCGCGTTCGAATAGTGGTATCAAGGCGCCTAACCCAAGTCCAGCCATTGATAGCCATTCACAAGATCTATATTTTACGAATATGAGTAGGAGTAGCTGATTCTTTGTACATTCTAGACAATTAATGTTTTTTTTCTAATTATCATGATCAGTTTTGATTATATGAAGTTAACCTCATCGTATAATTCTTTACTGCAGTTCAAAAAGAACAGACGTTTTCTCGTTGATCAAGAGCGAAGCTGAGCGATCTCATAGGCAAGATTCTCCTTCATTTAGAGATGTATGCAACCTGGGCTCCCTCGAGTTAAAATAGTGGTATCAAGGCGCTTACCCAAGTCCATCCATTCCAGCATAGCATAGCATAGCACATCTAGCATAGTTGCAGCCATTCATAAGTTATCTCTTAAGGATAATTCGCTAAACTGAGAGCAGAAACTACGTACATTTTGTTAATGAATGTCATTCTGTAATTATACTGACTAGTTTTTGTATTAATTACACGTAGTGTCTTATGCACGCCAAAGTTAATGTGACAGTGATGTAAAGCGTTATTGTTCCAATGCGATGAACGATTTTCTGGAATTGTTTTTATCATCAGCTATGTTTCTAATAAACCAATACGAAATTGTAAAGTAAAATAAAGTCGTATCGCGCTGTGCCATTGAAGAGAGCAATATTGCAAAATACCCTTACGTGCTAAATCCGTATATTATTTTATTATCTTGATTATGGGTTTTTAGCCTTGAGATACACGCAGCGAGGAAGCTGAATTTTTTTTTTTTTTGACGCGGATGAAAGAACTGAAAGCGAATTACATATGTTAAAAAACTATTTTTTCGCTCATCCTGGTCTCGTTCCCAGCAAAGCTAGCAGTAAGTTACTGAAGTAACAGCAGTCTAGTTTCGTGTGTAAAAGTGTTTTTCTCAATTTCAAACACAGCAGCCTGTCATCTAGATTTTCACCGGGGAAAAGAGATATTATCCCATACCCGACCCGCAAGTCTCACTCGAGAGACGAGAGCCTCCCTCCAATTACTTCATCCCCGAAGTCACGTCGGGGAGGGCGGTTTTAAGGAGGCTCCTCAAACTTTAAAAGAGCTTAGACGCCAACCCGTCAAAACGCCGGCTCTTCCGCGCCGCTGGTGTAACGCCTCATTTCACCAATAAATCGCGAATAAAGATTCAATCCATTTGTCTCGGACTCCAACTCGCCCTTAACCGCTGCGATTAAGGGAAGGGGTGGCGGTGGCGGCGCGATCGCCTCCTCTCCCACTCTGCCGTGCTAAGGAAGAACAATTAGAAAAAAACATTAATTGTCTCGAATGTACAAAGAATCAACTCCTACTCATATTCGTAAAATATAGATCTTGTGAATGGCCATCAATGGCTGGACTTGGGTTAGGCGCCTTGATACCACTATTCGAACGCGGTGGAGCCCGTGGTGCATACTTGCAAAATTGAAGGCGAATCTTGCCGTTAGCACCGCTCGACCGTTTTCCCCTCGATCAAAGGGCAACATCTATTCTGTTTCATTTGTGGTAAAGGTGCAGATTCCTAAAGATATCGATGAAGAGTGACACAATTCTGCCGCGTGCTAAGGAAGAACGCCTAATGATCATTCGAGAGTTGCCAAATTTCCTTTGATAAAATGTTTATTTTTGAGGAAAGTTATGAATACTTTCCCTTGAAATTTTCAGGATTCCTACATCAAAATACGAGCATAATTATCTGAGAAATTGGTAGACAAATATCCTACAATTCACCCGAAAATTAGTGCTTTGCCAGGGGAAATTTGGCAACGCTTGAAGATTCACACGACGTTTTTCCTTCCACTTTCCCGATGATAAACCAATCTCCGGCGCGATATTTAGACAATCCGAGCGCGCGATAAATTATTTAAAAGGCGATTCGAAATTTGTACCCAGCGAAAGGGATGTCGTCACGAGATCAGAGCTTGTTTTTATACCCCTCCGATCCCGGCTCCTCCGGCGAGAGAAACACACAGCATGTCTAATTTCTCTTTGTACTCACTCGCCGAGGCGGCCCGGCCTCAACCTGGGCGTTGCTAGCGCGGCTCTCGTAATATCGCGGAGCCGGAGCCAGCCATGCCGTGACTGATAACCGAGCGCCCGGGAGTGTTGCTGTCTCGCTCCGACCCACAGCGAACTATATTCCCCGTCTCTGTCTCCGATAGCGCTGTCTCTCTCGCACCCGCGGTGGGCAGCGCCCGTCTCTCTCGCTCCCTCTCACCGCGGCCCCGATAGCGCCGTCTCCGTCGCGCCGCGAGTGCGCCGCATCCGGGCGTCTCTCTCCTCCGTCGTCTGTCTCCGTCGCGCGGGCCGAAGCTCATTCACATTTGTATTCCCCTCTGAGTTGGAGGCAAGTCGGTTGGGTTCTTTCTATATTATGTTACGTCTCGTTTTGTCTCTCTTGTGCGCGCGGTTTAGTCCCGTCTCTCACTCCCACGAGGAGCATTACACGCTCTTCCCTGCCTTTGCCTCCTCGCGCTCGGATCCGAAGTGCGAAGACTTATAATTATTATTTGTGTGCCACCGTGTTTGCGCGTTCGGTGTACGAGTGCTCGTCCCCGAATTTCGCACCCCTCGCCGGGATACAGTGAATTTTTATCGGTTTTTTCGGCCGCTCCGGGTGTGATCGTGCGTTTTTCCTGCTTCCCCGAGCCCGGTGTGTCTATCTGGCATCCGTTTCGCATCGGGAATTGAGTGAAATTTCGCCTTTCTGTGATAAATTGGTGTCGTGGGCCGTCAGTAGCCTAACCCGCATTCCGCCCTCATCATCCGGGTTTTGTTGTGTTTCTGTGGAAAGTGGCTGTGATTGTGAATATGTGCTGATTATGGATAAAGCCCCTCACCTATTGGATACCCTTTTGGATTAATTTCACCGTCAAATCTGGATACCTTTCGTCTTCGTTTCCTCAAACAATCATTTACTTTCACAGCAAGCAGGTATTTTGCTTTCGAATTCTCTTGGCTAGTTGCTTTGTTTCGTAGGCTATGAATTCTATCCAGTTAACTTTGCTCTTTGAACTTCTATCTGATAGCGGTCAGTATTGAAGATTGTGTCGTATTGTCCTTGTTTTGCCGAATTAGACAGTTGCAACACATCTCGAAGTGCGTCTGACTAATGCATTTGACTTGCCCCTAAAATTAAGTGCTTCCCTAGTGGCATTAGGAAGTCAACGCATTATTCAGGGTTATCTCCATTACTAACGATAGAGAGAGATCCTTTGTTCTTTCTTATCCGATCATCAAATCTCTTTGAGGGTTATTTTTACACGAGAAGGCTCGTTCAATGTGCTAAAATTAGGCTAGTCAGCACGCGTACTGAAAACCAAATCAGTGCGTCTAGCGTCTAGGCCTGTACGTAATCAGTAGGTAGGTGCTGTGTGTTGTCTACCGATAGATAAATCAAAATGGTGTTAGCTCGTTGATGAAGCTCCTCTTTGTTCATTCTCAGTCCCTACAGTGCCAAAAACTCGAACGAAGTCCACGATTTATCGTCGATGTTGCTGCCTTAAGATCGTGCCAACAATTACATAATTAGTATCAGTTTTCTTAATCATGTCTAATCTATTGCAACGCACGCCCACTGAGCCTCAAAATTACGATGCGAGAGTCCAAATTCTTCTCCGCCTGTGTTACATTCCGTTGATCCATAATCCAGTCACATAACAGGAAAATAAAACCAAGGAAAAGAAGGCAGGAAATGTTTCTCCCGTTTCTTTTGCCTAATAATTAACGTCACTTACTTAAACGGAAAGTCTCCCGGTCTCATAGCGATTACGTAATGCTAAAAATTTTCATTTGTGCGAGCTGAATATCAGTCCCAACCAACGAACTCCAAACTGGTTGCAAATTGCGCATCCGAGTTGTTGTTTTGTCCGTTAAAGCTGTTCGTGTTTAGATACCGAGAGCGAACCATTTGGTCAAACATCACGACACACCTAGCGACGATTTGGCGCTAGAGGGCCGTGTGTAGCCGACGAGACTTAAAGTATGTCATGGTTTGCACATTTTACTAGGCTGAAAGATGAAAGAATCTACCGTGGTTTTCAGTTTTTCTATGTTCTGAAATCAACAAGTTGTTCCTGTGTTTTTCATCAAATGACGGTTGATATTTATGGAGTCGTAGATTAACAAACACAAAAAGTATTCAGAACCGTCCAATCGTGAATGAAGTCATGGCTTTTCGAAACACGCTTCAAGGCGGCATTCACCGTTGTAACCATTCAATGGCGAGGCGTGAATGATCGATTATCGATATTTCCCAATTTGAAGCTATCGTAAAGGGCAAAGCACGCCTATGATGCACACATTTATTTGGGTTTCTTCTGGGTCTTAATCTAGGTAGAATAAACCGTGCAATTTGTCAGGCCCCGTTCCTCTCGAAATAGTAACAACTCTTAAAGGCTGGCAACATTGTTTTTTCTTCATTTCGATGTAGGTAAAGGCAGCTTCATGGGCAGAAATCTAGCTGAATCACTAAGTACAAAAAGGGCACATATCCAGAAAACCAAATTGTTCAGGAGACAAAAAACAGTTCTTCGTGTCTCCTGAACAATTTTTTTTTTTTTGGACATGTGCCCTTTTTGCATTTAGTGATTTAATTAGAGTCGCCGAAGAAATGTGAGGGATTTTGCTCAATTATCGGAGGAGATATGACAACATGACTAATTTGCCAGAATACATGTGTTATAATGGGCAATGCCGCCAGATGTCGTCACTGGGCGGTGCATTTTCTTGCTTCTAAATATATTTTTACAATGTTTCCCATTTCAGGAAAATATTATTAAAAATACTTTGAAATCAACTCCTTAAGAACCCTCATAAGAAGCAATAAAGAAATGACGCGCTATTCCTCCAATCCGTGGGGAATAACATCACTACCTCGGAGGGCGTTAACTTTTCCCCTGGATGATTCCTGTCACTTTTGACCATCGACTACTCCATGCGTCTCAATTAATGGAGATGTTGCATGTGTGAGGAATTTGGGATTTAACTGTTGATTCTTATGTAAAAGTTGGCGAGAAACACGATGGTGCCACTGGTTTCCTCCGAAATCAACTCCCAAGCTCAAAAAAAGCTCTCGAGTTGAGGCCAAAATGAAGGGGATATCCCACGCTATCCTGAGAGTCCACGTCTACACCAAGACGAACTCTCCATGCGAAGATAGGGAGCAAATACATTGACAGGGCTGCCACTTTATTTGGGGACTCCAAAACTGAAAACACGGCATCACTGCTAATGTATTTGCTCCCTATCTTCGCATGGAGAGTTTGTCTTGATGTAGAAGTGGACCCTCAGGGTGGCGTGGGATATCCCCACCATTTTGGCCTCAACTTGAGAGCTTTTTTGAGCTTGGGAGTTAATTTCAGAGAGAACCAGTGGCACCATCGTGTTTCTCGCGAACTTTTCCATAAGAATCACCAGTCAAATCGCAAATTCCTCACACATGCAACATCTCCATTACTTGTCGAAACACGATTTTCCCTTCTTCTGGATATCAACATATTTTTGGTCCTTCGAGACGGACTCCCATCCACTGCGCGATCTTTGAGACTCTAACGAGGTCTCGGTCGGGTTATTATCGCGGGCGACGCGGATTCCTTTGGCGAACGCGATCGAGCGAGGATTATTCCGTCGGTTCAGCGGAGCTTCCCGGATAATACCCTTTCAATTTTCCACTTCTCACTTCGGGGAGCTCCAGCCGCGGCCCGTCGACTTCATTTCCAAGTCGTAAACGCTCCCCGGAACAGGCAGGAGACGGAACTGGGATTTCGGGCCGGATCGTTAGCGCGTTATTTACTAACGCCCAGCGTCTTCGGGTCGGAACAATGAGCGGGCGCTCTCGAGGAATTACCCGATGTTTTGGTTGGCTTTCCGCCAGACTCGGGATCCCCCACACCGACGCACTGTGGATCGGGTCAATCAGAAAAGTCGGACATGAAACAGGGTGTCTAGCATCAGGAAAAACCGGTAATCCGGAAAATATCAGGAATTTTGGCCGATCAGGAAAAAATCGGACGTTTTATCAGGAATTTTTCTTACGCAATCTCCTCAGCGGAGAAAGTCTTACTGTTTTTTGCCTACCGTGCCAGGAGTCGAGCAAAATCAGGAAAATATCAGGAATTTTAAAAATGAAAAAATCAGGAAAAGTTTATAAAAAATCAGGAAAAATCAGGAAAATATCAGGATTTTTCAAAATTACGAAACAGTAAACACCGTGTGAAATTTTTGACCAAAAATGCAAATTTTTATGTTTATTTCCTCACATTTTAAAACTGTAAGAGGTGCCACCGGAGAAAATTGTACGAGGAAACCAATGTAACCACTTATAGAACCTTACAATTTTGTTTAAACGGAGTTGTAAGCTTTTAAAGTTTCTAAATTTTGTCCGACCTCTCCTATGGTGTCAATATGAGAGGCCAGACGTAATTTGGAAACTTTAAACGCTCGTAACTCCGTTTATACAAAATTTTGAGGTTCTTAAAGTGGTTGCATTGGTTTCCTCGTGAAATTTCCTCCTTACAGCACCTCTTGATATTTAAATTGTGACGAAATGAACATTAAAATTTGCAGTTATAGTTGAAAATTTCATGTCCGACCTCTCCAACTGACTCGATCCACTGAGCGACGTCTAAGAGCCGGAGTCGCTCGCTGCCGCACCGAGGGAAAACACCGTATGAGACTGTAGACGTTGCCATATTTTCTTCAATAAAACACGAATTCACTCTGGAAATCGTGAGTAAATTTCTTCAAAATTTTCGGATAATTTTCTTCATTGGAAAAAGTCGCTTGGATCTAGAGTCCAGACTCTTGAAAACAATGGCAAGAAGAAATACTCACGATTCAATCGGATTTTTGCTTAAGTCGAGAACCAATCCTCTTAATTTAAGCGGATTTCCTTTTGATCCAAGTATAAATCCGATTGAATCAAGAGTATTATTTCTTGTCATTGTTTTCAAGAGTCTGGACTCTAAACCCAAGCGATTTTTTTTCCTGTGTTCGCAATTTTACCTAAGATAGTTGAGAATCTCCAGGAAAAATATGCATATCTTTTCTCAAGAATACATGTTTTATCTAGATGAATTTGGCAACTTTCAAATGTTCATACGGCGTTCTGCCTTAGCACGGAAGCTCAGGAGAGATTTCGCCTCGATTGGTGAAATTTTCCTCGCAGCGACAGCACTTGGTGATCTTGATTTCATCGTTTGGAATCGGAACTCAACACGGAAATACTCAGATGAGCTCTAAATTGGATAAGAATGCCTGTATTCCAGGGTTCAGGAGATTGTAGTAATGGTCCATAGGCTGATTAATATTCGGGCGGATTTTGAATCGATGTTCGCGGCATTATCGTATCTTAATGCCCTGTAAGCTCCTTTTACGTCGATGACTTAATTTCCCAGTTGTAAATAGGTCAAATTTTGCAATAATCAACCACTATTTCTAGCTCATCCATTAAGCCACTATCTGCCTGCGGAAACTGATAGCAAACATGTTTCTCTTGAACGAGCCGAAAATTTCGGCTGCGTTTTACTAAATGTATTCCCAATCGAAATTTCTATGAGCATTACAAGGGGATTTCCACACTTGAACCTCATCAGATTCTGGGCGTTCCCTGGCAGTTTTGAACGCATATTTTGTAATAAATCCGCATTTTGCCGCCCGTTTAAACTAGCAGTGGTGAGGAAAGAATGATCGATTTATCGATGTTTCCCCATTGGAAGATATGGTAATGAATCGATTATCAAGGTGTTCGCTGCGAATATCAAGTTTACCGATCTTTTTCCATAGATCAATCGATTTATCGCAAAGCACGCGGCGTCACTGATTTTCATCCTTTCAAATCCCTCTCTAAGAATTTTTATTATTATTTTTTTTTAAAAAAAAAAATGTGTTTGCCTTTCCAATTATATGTGTCTCTTTTTTTGGGTTTTTTTTTG